TCCGCCGCCGTGTGGGGATCTTTATCGTGCTGTGGAGGATAAGGGATAATATTCTGATGGGTTTTCACTGACTGGGGTGGAAGACGATGTGTTCTCGGTTTGGAATGTCGCTTGAAAGGGAGTTTTGGGGAGATGAACGGGAACAGGTTGCCCAGGGAGGCTGTGGCTGCCCCAACCCTGGCAGTGTTCACAGCCAGGTTGGATGAGCCTTGAGCAACCTGCTCTGGTGGGAGGTGTCCCTGCTCAGGGCAGGGGGCTGGGACTAGGTGATCTTTAAGGTCCATTCCAACCCTTAAAATCCTATGAAGTAAATGATTTGAATCTGAGCCTAATGGGGTACAGGACTCAGAGGTCTCAGTTGTTAGCATGTCTACTTTGTTGTTCAAAAAGGAAGGTTTAGTTTAATCCATGTGGTCTGCCATAGGATTGTGTTGGGGAAGGGGTTTTGAGGGAAACAAAATTTATTTTTGCTGTGTTAGAAGTGAGTGCTAAGTCAAAACTTTGTCAGGTTTTGTCAGGTTGGTCAAAGCAGGCAGTTTGTGAGGTCTGAAGTGGCATTTCTTTTGCATGCTGACTGGGCTAAATGGAATTGGAACAGAATATGTTTGGTTGTGTTTTTCCAGAACTGAAGGTTAAAGTCAGTGGCATAACTATTGGTGCCAAGAAGGACCTACGCAGAGCACTTGTGTTTTGCACATGGTTTGTTCATTCTGCTCCGATGAACTTGTGCCCTAAGTGAGGCAAATAACTGGAATTCCAGATAGCGGGTCAGGAGGGAAGTTAGAGTTCTCTTCAAGTCTTAAGAAACTGCTGGAATTAGCAGAACTTTGCCAGCCAGAAACAATTCCATGGTGTTTCAGCAAAGCACCATTTCAGCAAGTGAGTGCATTGATGTCTCACAAGTGCACAGGGTGAAGAACTGTTTCACACAGAGCAGGGCTGTGTCCAGGGTTAGACTGTTCATTTTTTGGTGATTGATGCTGTGGGATGGGGCAGTAATTTGTGTTCTGTCCACAGATGCTGCCCATGGCTTTCTGGGATGTGAATTCCAGGAGACATATTGGACTGCAGCAACTCTCATCCTTAGCATTAACTGGAAAAACATTGCTGGGGCCAATGAAATCATATAAATTCATCGTGGACGAAAGCAGCAACCAAAGCACATTGATTTGTTCTGCTGTTAGACTGATTGAGAGTTTGGATTTGACTAGTGCCTCTGGACAGCTGCTGAATGAAACCCTCCAGGCACAGAACAAGGAGTTCAGGACTGGGATGAGTACCCTGTTGTTCCTGGTGGGTGCGTGGAGCAATGCTGTGGCAGAGTGTCTCCAGCAGAACGTTCCTGTTTCAGCTATAGTGTCTGTGATGTCCGAGGGGTTGAACTCTTGCTGTGAGAGGGTTCAGTGTCTTCAGATATCAATACAGGATGTAAACAGAGACCTATGTTCTGGCAGAGTTAGGCCAAACACTTTTGAAACCCAAATTGGACATGACAGTCTCCTATACCCTCGGAATTTGCTGTGTTTCCAGAAGGATATTTCTGCTCCAGAAGAAGTGATTCCAGTAAATGGTCGTTCCAATCAAGGAGATGATTGTGATTTTAACAAGTGCCTGGTTTCACCCATGGTTGGCTTTGGTTCAGCGGCCTCTCTTGTCACACCAGTGGGTGACAAAAGTTCAGCTGTGATTCCTGGAAGTGGTGTCATTGCATCTAGCTCAATCAAACCAAAGTTAACCCACAGCAGACACTTCAGCACTTTAGGGAAAAGCCATTTTTCAAGTCAGAGTCAGCGAGGTAATTTTCAGGGGTACCTTTCAGGACCACTAGCAGGTCCATGTGAATGTTATGGTTTAGGACACCTGGCAATGGCTCTGAGCCATGGGAATCAGACTGGTGTGAAACTGCTACAAAGCATTGCTGCATATCAGCAGGAGAGAGCAGAATGCAGTGGTTCTTCTCAGTTGAATATCGCAGAGATTGTGACGTGCTGTTTGCTGGGCCTGCCTGAAAGCTATTCTTGTGTCTCCCCAGGCTTTGTCACATTAGTGTCACCGGAACAAGCCACAGTCATCAAACACTTTGAGGACAAACCCCTTCGGATTCTGCTGATGGATGGTGACCTAAGGGAAGAGTATCGACACATAGGTTTTAACAGACCATGTAATGTAAGGACTATATTGGAGCATCCTAACCTGTGGGGGAGCAGAGCAGGAGATGTGTGGCTAAGCAGTATGTTAGATATCTTGATAAACTTTGAAGTAAACCTGGTTTTGGTCAAAGGAAGCGTGTGTGAAAGCCTAATGGAAAGCTGCATTGCCAACAGAATACTGGTGATTGGCTCAGTGGCTCGGGATGTGCTGTGTGCCTTTGGGGAGGTCACTGGTGCCCAGGCAGTGACATACCTCACCCAGCTGAACTCTTCTTGTGTTGGGACTGGGGCCCAGGCAGAGCTGTGGGAGGCCAGTGATGGGCGTGCGATGGACCTGGGTGAGCTCGTGCCAGTCCGGATCAAAGCACAGGGCATCCCCCTGCTCACAGCTGTGCTCACCACTGCTGTGGCTTCCAAGCTGCAGCTCATTGAAGACCAGTTCTGGACTTTGGTATATCGACTCCATCATGCTTTAAACGACCAGAAGGTTTTTCCTGGGGGTGGTGCAGTGGAGCTCTTGTGCCTCAGTCACATCCAGGTGCTTGCAGAGCAGCCTGACCGACCAGCAGATAAAAAAGCTGTGAGAGCGTTCCTCAGCCCTTGGCTGGCAGAGTATAGATCCATTGTGCTCCAAGCACTGGCAAGTGGATGGAAGCAGTATCTTTCCGTGGTCATGTGTAACACTGCAAAAGCTGCGTCGGAGTTGGAAGCCTGTGCCTCGGTGGAGCATCACCTCAAGAAAGCAGCAGAGTGTGGCTCTCCCTTAGCATATATATTGGAAGAGTTTAGAAGAGGTGATCTGCTCAGGGTGGGCTCTGGTACCTTTGCTGACCACGGGGAGGGTTTCAAGGTGTATGATAATGTTACAGCCAAGACAGAGGCATGGAGGAGAGCTCTGGACTTGGTGCTGCTGGTGCTTCAAACAGATGCCGAAATCATCACAGGCCCCAAGAGGAATCAGCTATTGAACTCATGTGTGTCAAGTGAATTTAAGTTTTTATAGGACTTTCAGGATTTATGAGTGAGTGGGAGAAGTTCAGGCACAGCCTGCATGTCTTCAGAGTTTATAAAGCAAACTTTGAGATGTGATTGTGACTGGAATGTAACAACAGAAATCAGAGAGACAGGCACAAGGTAAATTCTTATTTCTAGGAATGGGAATCAAATAAACAAAAATCACTTGTGGTCTTACCTCTGACCCCAGCTGTGCATCTCTAGCTAGTGACATTGTCTGTATGGATGTCTCCTAATGTCCTCCAAAGAAAGGTAGGGATTTATTACATAACATTGATGTATTTGTGTTAAATGAAAGAATATCTATAATGTCATTCATTATTAATTAATATCTTGTTCTTATATTTTGTACACTGCAAACATAAGAGTTAAATTTGAAATAATTTAGGTGTTACATTTTACACTAAGAGATTGTATTAGCAGATTGTATTTTTGCATATTTATATGGTCCATATATTTCCTGTTTTCCAATACATACCTTTTGGAATTTGTCTTGTTTTGACAATTTGAGGCTGAATCCTTCCCTTTGGTATTATAGACTGGGTGTATCTCTACACATTCTTTTCACATTCTTTTACATTATGATATGGATTTTTAGAGTATTTCCTTGAGGGTCTTTCAGTTATCCTTGCAGAGAGCAAAATGTTGTTGTGAGTTTTAGGTGTTGGCTAGAAATTGTAAATGAATGTATCCTGATGGTTGAGGTAAGGCATTTTTACTGTTTTACAGCACTTAAAATTTGAAATCAGAGCCCTGCAGAACTGGCACTTGGTTGGAAGAAAGAGCTGTATAACTATGGAGATACTTTTTTTCTGAACTTGACATTCTGATTCACACTTCAAGTGAAACGTCTCACCAGTCTGGTGAAAACAGAACAGAAAATGAATGGAAATGGTGGTGCTAACATGGATTCTTGCTTTCAGGAACTTTCTCATTAAAATGCTGGTGGCTGGCAGCACAGATAATGAAATTCATCCCCAATGAGGTTTGGGTGTGTGTGTATATTAAAGTAGTGATATATCTCTGACCTGAACCTAAATATTTTGGATTTCTAACAAACTCCAGTGGATTTTGGCAAAGTCTCATCTGTACTATAAGGGTTTATAATTTTAATTAGGAACAGTAGTTCCCATCAGCAGAGGGATCTAGTTACATTGAAGTTTTGATCATCCTGCAATTACATTTTCATTAGGAATCAGTTGGCAGATGATGTTTAACTGTTTGGCCACACTCTTGGTGTATGAAGACACGAGAGAGAAAGAGTTTGGTAGATCAAGAAAAGCAAAAGGAGAATGAAATGGAAATCCAGCACATAAATACATATAAACAAAGTCTGCTGCTCTGCAAGCATTTGCAGCTCATGTTTGGCTTTGTACTGTTTTTCTTGAACCTCCTGTACTGAGCATTGCATAACCTCTGTTCCCAAGGAAAGATCCACTTGCACTTTATTTGAATAATAGAGTTAAGTGTGTTATGGAAAAACTGCAGACATGAATTGTATTGAGGTGGTCCAAACAGCTATTTTTGGGGTGCTTAGACACCGAGAGCTGACGCACCAAATGTTGAGAAAGTCCAAAATGATGTAATGTTTCCAATCAGGCTTTTAAAAAGCACATAATGATATATTTAAATGTTGTGATGCTGAAACCAGGATAAAAGGTTTTCTAAAAAACGGTCAGGCATTATATTTTGATTAATTAACACCTGCTTTTCTACAGGCCAACAAAAGAGAAGATTTTATAAACTAGCTAGAAATTGTATCCTTGGTTACTTACAATTCTCTCTTTGATATGCAGAGGTTAACATGCATGATCTCCTCAAGGCATCCTCTTCTGCAGTTTGGAGTGCAACATGCTAGTGTGGCTTCCTCAGGCTCAAATCTCTGAAGCCTCTCTGCAGCATGGAATGGAGATGATCCTGTGTGTGTCTGGCATGGCACAGGGAATGATTTCAACATCTGCCACAGGCGATTTCAGCTTCTGCCGGGCAGAGGCTCCTCCTAGGGTGCACAAAGGCTGTTTGTGTAGAGCATGATGTGATGGAAGAGCTAAGCTTTTACATGTGATGCGCTTGGGAAATCGGGAAATGGCAGAGATTTCAGGGAAAGAATTGTCCCAAGGCATCAGTAGTGTTTTACTCCCTCCTGAAACCCTGTCCTAGTCAGGTGCCTCATTTCTCCCTTGCGACCCAGTATCATCAGTCCCAGCTCATTCCTCCTACTGTTTAGAGCTGTGCCATTTTATTTAATGTTTCTCTTTATAAAGCAAATTTTTGAGGCCTTTGCTCTTTCATGATTTCCTGGAATGCAGTAGAGATCATAATCACATCACCAAGACCATTGTCCCAAGCTGGGCCAGCCTAGAGGGCACAGCCACTTGCAAATGCTGGCCCTGTAAGGACTGATAGCCTGGTGATCAGTGGTTGTCAGCAGGCACCTGAGAGTTTGCCTGCTACCAGCTGTCCTGAAAAAAATGAGCTAGGAAATGTAGGGAGACAATGGTCCCCAGGTAGACCAAGGAATGACTGCAGGAGGGTGGGTGCTGGGAAGGTCATGGAGCAGGAAGGGCTGCAGGAGAAAACCTGAGCTCACAGTAGAGTTGGGAGACAGTTTATGTGCACTGACCTTTTGATATCCCAGACCAGGGCTGCTGGAGAGGCTGGGTGAGTAATTTCCTTTTTTGGCGGGAGAGTGGTGGAGAGGGGAATTTAATCTAGGAGACAAGTTATGGAGTGATAAGAGATTTTCAGCTCTGCTCATAGGGATGAGGCAACTGTCAGACCTGAGTCATCCCATCAGTTACATCGACAGCAAAATATCATTCATGCATTTTTTGCATCATCAAGAATTGACCTTCTTCCATGAAAAGCAGGTTGGCTTTCCATAACCAGCTCAGGCAGGACAACTAGAGTTGAACCAACTCTACCAGGTACCAAGTGAATGAAATGTCTCATTATTGATTTTTTTAAAAAATCCTTTTAGTGTTTAAACTCCCTAACACCTATGCTATATGACAGTGCCATGCTCAAATGGGACTGAGCTGCTGCTTCAAGGAAGGGCTTGCTGTTCCTGGAACCTGCTGTGCTGCCAGGAGCGCTGTACACAACAGGCACTTTTGGGAATAACACACTTACTACAAGCCTTACAATTTGTATAAGGCAAATTGTCAGGGAGTCTTAAATTGTTCACTTGTTTTTCTACAGCTAATGTAAAACAGGATCTGGTACTGACTGGCTAGAAATGCTTTTTTGGATCAAACCCACAGGCTTCACGGGATGTTTATCACTTTTGGAAAGGACCAGAGTATTGAAAAGTGTTGCACAGTGATACATTTGCTTTGTCCCTTGCACAACTTCTTTGTATTGATTCTTTCCCTGGGGAGTTAAGCTGAACATTTTAGCTTCTGGTAACTTCCAGAAAGGTCTTTTCCAGCCTTAATGATTCTGTGATTGTCTAAATGTGACCATCCATACTGCTCTTTCTACAGCTCTTTTCTCACAGTCACTTGTAGAGGTATCACTTATTGGTAGCACTTTGAAGCAGAGGGAGTATATTCCAGTTTTATTCCTCTCTCTCCATACATCAGCAATCCTTTTGAGATAGTTCCACACCGGTACAGTTAGAGCATAGTTTGACATCATTTGGAAAAATCAAAAGATCACAGACTAAACTCTGCCACTTGCCACCAGCATTGCGGCATTAATTAACCATTCATCAAAAAGCTGCAGGAGCTAGATGGGATTTTTTTCAAGGCATTGTGTTAACCAAACATGAATAGATCTGCAGTCTTACAGGGCTTTTTTTCTTTGTAGATAACCTTGCTCCAGGAACTAATGTCCACAGGGATGAGTTCAGCACAGTGGGAGAGTGAGAACAGCTCAGGTATGTGCTCAAACTAGAGACTGAGTCTGATACCAAGTGGTGAAAGGAAGAAAACAACACACTCCTCTATCTATTTTGGTTTTCTAACTGTTTATTCTGCTAGTAATATCCATCCCTGTAAACTTTTGAAAACACCCACAGTGGTGTCTTTGGGTGCATTTCAGTGATAGTTTGCTGTGAGTACTGGGATTCAGCTTTGTTGCACTATGCTCCTGAAAAGTTTGTAGGGACAAGGGCAGTTTGGGGAAGAGATGCTTCCCCAGTGGAGGGAAATAGTAGTTCCTCAACTTTTCCTTTCACATCAGGTCCCCTCTGACCCCTGCAAAGTGGCTTCATGTCATGTATAGTCCAAACCCAAGTTCCCCAGCAGCATCCCCAGCAGCCACGTGGTGGAAAGGAATGCTGTGCCGTGATCATGCACAGATGGTGAGAGAGCTCCTGGGAAGAGGGAGAAACCAAGGCCTATATTTGGTTTCTCTGCCTAGCAGAGATTCAAAACAAAAAACTGTGTTCATGAAAAGGAATGTTTTCCTTGGGGAATAAGTGCTACTTTAAACAATAGGATTATTTTTTGATTGTTGCGGGAGTATTAAAGATAGCATGCAGTTTTTATTTAGAAGTAATGGGAAGACTGGTCCCTGACTTTTATTCCAGTGCAAATCTGTAGAGTGGGGTTTAGTGCCATTCACAACTTGTGTTGTGAGACCAAATATTTAACCAGCATTGCAGATCTGGGGAGATGACTTGTCGTGGTTTAACCCCAGCCAGCAGCCAAGAACCACACAGCCTCTCACTCACTCCCCCACCAGCGGGATGGGGGAGTGAATCAGAAGGGTAAAAGCTAGAAAAGCCCATGGGTTGAGATAAAGACAGTTTAATAGAGAAAGCAAAAGCTGCACACACAAGCAAAGCAAAACAAGGAATTAATTCACTGCTTCCCGAAGACAGGAGGTGTTTAGCCATCTCCAGGAGAGCAGGGCCCATCACACGTAACGGTTCCTTGGGAAGACAAACACCATCACTCCAGATGTCCCCCCTTCCTCCTTCTTCCTCCCACCTTATATACTGAGCATGATGTCATATGGTGTGGAATATCCCTTTGGTCAGTT